ATTTCCGTATTAATTATCTCAGTTGACTCCGTGTCCTTTCGTTCGTTGTGATTTCACGATAAATAACTAAAACGACGCTCCATCGTGCGTAATAACGATGGAAAATATAGATAGAGAGAAGTGGAAGGGAAAAGGAAATAAAGAAAAAAGAAAAAAAAAAAAAAAAAAAGGAAGAAAAAAGGATTGAAAATGAGATGTGGCGTGGAAGCTCGTTAAAGGTTCCCTTTAAAAATCGTGTTGCTTTAAGTCGAGTACCATCGAGGTAGTAGTATTTGCAGGCTACTCAATAAGCATCATCAAAGACACACGAGAAAAAGCTTTACTCCAAACAGATACAACATGTCTTCTCATTTGCCGTGTCGTGGTTCGTATCGTAGTAGCGTGAAAAAGAAAAAAAAAAAAAAGAGAAGAAGAAAAAGAAAGAAAGAAAAGGAAAAAATAACAGGGAAAAAGAGAACGAAAACAAACAAATTCGAATCTTTCACTAGTGTGAGAAAAAAGAAAAAAAGAAAAAAAGGAAATAACATTCAAAAGCTATCTTTCGACTTTTCTAAATGATACTTATCGATTAATGATTCTCGATCAAACTAATAACAATTAATCGAAGTGGAAAAATTTCAAGGTGGAAGGAAAAAAAAAAAGGAAAAACAAAAACAAAAACAAAAACAACAACAAAAAAAAACAAGGATTTTTCTACGTTGATAGAGCGACTTATCTCGAGCAAAAAAAAGAAAAAAGAAAAGAAAGAAAAAAAAAGAGCGAAAAGAAAATAAATAGAAGAGAAAAAAATAAATTAAGTAAGTAAGTAAGTGATTGAGTGAATGAGTGAGCGAATGAGTGAGTGAGTGAGTAAAGTACCTATATAAGAATTTTTATCGTGGAGATTGAAGGAATATAATAGCGAAGAAATTAAGAAGGTGACACTTCGATTAGCACGATAAGATCGAGAATAGGATGGTAGTAGTAGTGATAGTAGTAGTAATGGTGGTTGTAGTGGTGGTGGTGGTGGTGGTGGTGGTGGTGGTAATAGTGACGGTCGTGACTGCTCGGTGGTAGGAGAAGGGGGTGGAATAGAGGGGAGGAATCGGTTGATTGGCCACGAAGCGAATAGAACGGACGACGTAATGTGCAGCTTCGAGACAATTTGTTCTTGCTACAGAGGGAGGATATAACGAAAGGAAAACGATATTCGCTTCGTTAATCGAGTAGCCTCGAGCTCTGCTTTCGTGCAAAAAAAAAAATAAAGCAAGAAGAAAGGAGAGAGAGAGAGAGAGAGAGAGAGAGAGAGAGAGAGAAAGAGAAACAATGAGAGAAGAACTCCGATACGAATTAGTTGAGTTTCAGTTTTTCTCCCGAGAGTCCTAAGCTTGCCTCGAAATTCTTTCTTTCATTAAAAAGAAGAAAAAAAAGAAAAAAAAAGAAAAAGAAATAAGAGAAAGAAAGAAAATACTCTTACAACTCTTTTGAAAATAGCTCGATATTTTTTTTTTCCCTCCATTATCTATATATATTTTCCATTATATGTATATATATATATATATATACACATACACATATATTTGAGTATTATCGTATAATTTAAATTGGCTTTAAAGTAAAATTCGAAAAGAAAGAATCGAAAATTTTTAATAAATTCTTTAATCACATTTTAATATATTTATTTAAAATACATTAACGAGAAGACTCGAATCTTCTTCTTTTTGTATATTTTATATTTTACTTCATTTTATTTTTCTTCTCTTCATTTTCCTATATTTCTTTCCTCGAAAGAATTATCAGAAACATTGTGTATGTATGTATATGTGTGTGTGTGTGTGTGTGTATGTCTATGTGTGCATGCATACGTGCGTTGCGCAAAAGCAGAGCTTTTTAGAATCGCAAGAAGAACGTGAACGAATCGTTTCAGAAGTGAACTTTATGCGTTTGTGAACCGAAAAACGTCAGAATGTACGTGATAACGAATCGGACGTGTCTCTAACGATAAAAATACCGAACAACAGGGGAAACAATTGGGCCGGGGTTTGGAGTGTGCTCGAAATGATAATAGCGATGTCGTGGGAGGTTCAGAGAAAAAGAATGGGATAGAAATGACGAGGGATCCAAACAAAATTTTTAACGAGGAATACAACGATAATAAAAGTTCCTTTGTCCTTGGATTCAATTAGTGTGGAAGAAAAGCGGGACGATTAAATGTTTCGTCTCTGATCTTCGAAGCGTACGAGTATCACGCAATTTTTATAGAGATTATGATATACACAAAGAAACATCTCGTTTTTCTATATATGTGTATTTACCGGTCATATGTATAAATATATATATATATATATATATATTTATGTATGTATGTACGAATATATGTATGTATGTATGTATGTAGGTATAAACATATAGGGTGTTCGGTAAAAATCGAAGTGAAATTCTTTTCCAATTTTTAAATTTAACACCAAGAATAAGAATTCCTTAAAAAATTCTTCGAATTGTTATTATTTCTATTGCATTTTATTATATATATTGAATTAATATGTTCGAAAATCTTGCAATATAATTAATTTGAAAAACAAGAAAAAAATGTTTGATAAATATTGATTCGAAGGGGTTGATTTAAAAAAAGAAAAAAAAGAAAAAAGAAAGAAAAAGAAAAAAGAACAGGAAAGGAAAAAAAAATTTATAACCAGAAGATTATATTTTTTGAAACATGATAATCATAGATATTTCTTTTAAATGGGATACTTCTTTTTATTGCGATCGCCAATATAACAAGTAGAAATATTATCAGTCAATTATATGATAGAATTTTTTTTATTTTAGAATTCTATTAAAATTGTAGCGTATACAAATTGTAAATATAAAACGGTGAATAGAATTTCACGAGGAATATATTATAACTGAGATTTTGCGGTATTTGTGAATATTCCAATTTTAGTTGATTCACCCGATATATTTAAATGAAATTCTAGTGGTATATTAAAACGGAACACCCAGTGTATACATACATACATACATACTTACATATATACTTACATACATATATATTTATATATATACATATATATATATATACATATATATATGTGTGTGTATGTATATATTCCGATAAAGTTAAAATCATTCTCAGGATCCACAAAAGACAAGGACGAGAAGTTTTACGGTCATATCGAACCTTCTGAGGTCTCTCTTTCTCTCTTCTCATCGTGTTTGCTATGCCTCCTATCTCTTTGACGTCAACACTGTAATTTCCAATTCGTTCGATCGTCGTTCTAATTAAGGTTACACGTTATCCGTGAAAGAGCTTTGTGAAAGCATAGCCGCGGCTAGAAGAAGGTGGGTAGCGATGTCGCCGCCATCGCGATCACAACTACGAGAATTTCTCTAAACAACGGAGAGAGAAAAGAGACATACACGCATATTTATATACACAGAGAAAGAGAGAGAGAGAGAGAGAGAGAGAGAGAGATCGGTAGGGAACCTTCATAAATTTTCTTTGTCGGTCGATAAACCATGGACAATGCGAACCATGCGTGACCTTGATTTTGAGAGGCAATGTAAGAGAAATTTTGTGAGTAAGTGGATGAGTGTCTGATTGTGTAGTTTGGTGTGCATATGTATGTGTGTGTCTGTGTGTGCGTTTGTGTGTGTGTGTGTGTGTTTGTGTTCGAAATTAAACGTGCCCTATCGATGTCGAGGAGATACGATGAGATTGAAGAGAAGGACGATGACGACGATGAAGATGCGGTAAGAGATGTGATGAAGAACTTGCACAACGCAACTCTTAGATGATGGCATTGTATGTTAAGGAAACCTTGCGAACATCTAATTATTAATCTAGGTTGTCGTCGTCATTGTCGTTGTCGTCGTTGTCGTCGTCGTCGTTGTCATTATCATTGCCATCTTCATTGGCAACGAGTGGTTAATATTCTGCCAATTCAATGTTACGAACTAAGTAGATTGTTTAATATATAAATAAAGTTATATAATGAAATTTTTTGTACGTCAAAAGGAAGAAAAAGAAGAAGGAGAAAAAAAAAAGATTATTTGATCTAAAAGTTATATCGAATGGAGTATAATAAATCTCTATATCGATCAAACATTTCTACGTGATCCTTTAACATCGATTAAAACCCTTTATGGATCTTTTTTTGAATTAAATTTTCTTTTCATTTTGAATTGCTTTATTATCATTGTAATTATTATTTGAAATTATCGTTGGAAGATATTAAAAGTGATTTCGAAGAAAGAAATAATTAATTTTTAACAATCGTTTCTCGTATCATTTGGCCCATTCAAAGATTTCCGACTTAAACGCATTATCATCGGTAATAACGATTAAATTACAAATTTGGCAAAAAGGTGGAAAAATAAAGATAAAAAAATATATAACAAAAGGGAGACTCGAAAAAAGAAGAAGAAGAAGAAGAAGAAAAAAAAAAAGAAAAGAAATAATAGACAAACGTGATTTCAAAAGCAAAAATTACATCGGTGTTATTAGGGTGGTTAAGAAAAATCCAAGTGAAAAAAATTGAAGATAACATAAACTTGTATTGAATCTCGTGAAAACAAACGACAAGAAACTTGTTTTAATTTTTTATCTTTCTTTTTTTAATTTTAGAAACGTTTATTCCTAGCATGAGTTAATAAATACATTACATATGTCAGTGTTTATTACATATTACAGGATGATCGTATATATAATTTCATAGCCGTAAGAAAAAGAAGAGAAAGAGGGAGAGAGAGAAAGAGAGAGAGAGAGAGAGAGAGAGAGAGAGAGAAAGCGAAACCTTTTATATTATTGAAAAAAAAAAGAAAAAAAAACGTGTCCCCCCCCCCTTATATACACAATTAAAAAAAATTACATTGAGCTAAGTATAATCTTGGATAAGAATTTCTGACTCTTTTATAATTATTAATTCTATCCTCGTATAATCAATTTTTGATAGGGCCTTCATTTATGTCTATACACATGAACATATATATATATATATACGAACTTTCTTTGGTGTTAG